CAAAACCGCATAACTGACATTTGCTGCCAAAACTTAGATTTGCATACAAAAGCTCCTTATCCATTCATGCTGAAATATACAAGCCAGAAATGCGACTGCTTTATAAAAAAGGGAACCAATTTAAAATATGCGTGTTTTTACTCTGTAGAAAATAATTTATGCAACCTCACATACGCGGTTTTGCATTTTGTTTATACGTGGTTTTGTACTTTAAACAACGGTACGTATATTTTGATATTCAGCTGTGCTCCATGCAATTTTCAACGCTCTTGGGTGCCTGGTAGCAGACTATTGTCAAGACTGCGTATTTTTCATAGAAAATACATATTGTAATTGTGTGTTGGTGATGAAATCATTAACGTTGATTGGTGGTGCTTTCAGAGAACATTATGAGCCATATAATAGCCCGCTTGCACATACATACATATGTACATATGTACATATACACTGTCGAGACAATCTCTTGTTCTTAACTGATGTGCTTCTAGAACATTTAGACGCACTACGGGTTCGCGATATATCTCTTTTGAATTCAAATAACTGACGAGCTAACTACGGCTATGTCCTAGGAAGTGGGAATTCTGCCCCGCTTTTCTATAGTTCAGAACCTGTTCAAAAATTGAAAGACGATAAAAAGTAACAGGATTTTTCCAAGCAGAGTCTTTATTAGAGCAACAGAAGCCAAAACAACAATTTTTAGAAAACTAATGCATAGAATTAAAAGCAAATTTCACCGATGTATTGCTAGAGGTCTAACTTAAAATATAGAAAAAAATGAGAGAGTTGCCACCTGATAGAGAATTTCAGTTTCAGTAAATGAATAAGGTAAACTAAATATTGCAGTATTGCTGTAAAAAGAAAGAGGTTTAAGAAGACTTACGATGAAAATATTTTTGTGGAAGGTTGCCACCTGTTTGAAAGTTTTAATTTAATTTAATTGATAAGATAAATTCACTATTGCAATATGGGTATCAAACTGAAGAGGTTTAGGAAAGTTTACTGTCAAAAAAATTTCTGTGGAGGGTTGCCACCAGTTTGAAAAATTTTATATAATTTAAATTTATAAAATAAACTAATTATTACAGTACGGGTATCAGACAATACAGAAATACTTTTAACGCGCAGGGAAGCACGCCGCGTATTTGCTAGTAAATATTTAATAAAATAAAATAAAAATAAATAAAAGCGCAAACAATTTAGATATCATATTTTATGGCTGGGTGTGCAGAGGTGCTTGCTGTTATTGGTTAGATTCCACAAGTTCCCAAGATGTTGAAATTTTTGTTTTATATTACTAAACTATGAAAAAGCGAAGTGCAGTATGAAAGTTTATTTTAAAGAAGAAAAGGTCAAACAACTATATATTTAAAGTAAACAAGCCCCCTGCTAAATCCCTTTTTCGATAGCTTCGAAGTAGTTCTCAAATCGACAGATGAGATCTAGTTCGTCCTGCAGCCCTCTTGGACTCAGCAGCCACTTTTCACCCTTAATTAGTGAAATAAGATAGTTTCTTAAAATTACTATCGGACTGGTTCGTTTTTGGCTATAAATATCTAGTACGGAACTAGAAATTTGATGCGCTTCACTGCATGGTATGTATGTATGTAAGTATGTATGAATATGTTGACACCAGAGCGAAGGCCAAGTGCTCCGCATTCTATGTAATTTTCCTATGACAAAATATTATCGATGCGCCGATGACTGTTCGCCTGCAGCTTTGGTTGAATATTTGTTTATTTATGTATGCCCATGTGTGAGTATAATGGAGTGCATTGAAATGCATAGAAATACATACATTTGTGTGTACGTACATTTGTATCCATGCGCGTACATTTGTATTGTGTGCTCGCCTTGTCCCACTAGACCACCTTGGTTGTGTGCTGTCTATCTCTGCGCTGAAGTGCTGGCAAGGTGTTGTTGCGCTCCACATCAAATCACATGTCGGTTAATGAATATTCATGTTGTGTGCACGCCAGCACCTCGCCTGCAATTACAGCGGCAATAGTGAGCAACTGTTGCCAATCGGCTGCTCCACCCTTTTTATCTGGCATACTCTGCTGTTAATGCCTGGCTTGCATTCTCTATATGGCTTTAGGTAGCTTCCCATTATGACCTGCAGTAATACCATGGAACAGCTATAAAAACGCTCAACGACAACTGTTAATGGCAAAGGACATGAGTAAATGTGAATGTGTGTGTGTGTGTGTTGGTGACATTATGTTTGCATTCTTGGTAATGGAGGTGATAATCGGTGAGGTTATCTTAATGACGATTGCCACCAAAATGGGTTTGCTCCGCACGCAATTTGCGGTAGGAAAATTAGTTGCAAATGCGCCTCGGTGCTTTGCATACAAATTGAATATAGGCGACCACAAATTGACGGAAATTCGGACTCTGTGAGTTGTTGCTAAATCACTATTTTCATGTTCAATTAAAAAATCCAACAAAGTGAATAAGTCATGCAAGTCTATTTAAACTAAAAGAAAAAGTATGCAGTTTAAATTGTATATTCCATTCTATAGTATCCGGTTAATGATTGAGACCTAAAATTGAATAGACCAAAAAAAAAATAATCAGTGGAGAGTTTAAGCGAACAGTTCAACAAGAAGCTCTTTAGATTTTAGAAATTTTTCAGAAAATCACACGACGCCTTAAAGCCACACTATTTTTTAATGAGAAGTAACGGCTAAATTGAATTTTACGGGATTCAAAGCAACCCACATATTTTTTATCAATTTAAAATGTTGAATGGTGTCTAACAACATTTAACCGTTATTTAATGCACACCCCTCCCCCGTTTTACGCGATACTCGTTAAGCAAATTTTCGAGCTTCTACAGTTTTTAGTTGGAAGTTAAAAAAAAATGCAATAACCCATATAAACCCAATAAATGAGCATTTTAAATTTACACGTAATCTGAATTTATGCATCTGGTAACATTTATGTACACCGAAACGATTCGGCATAAATCGTGTTTTACTCTCGAGTTTTTCGCGATTTTGTTTTCTCTTACGGATTTTTCAGGTCCAAAAACACATTTATTACTTAATTTTTGTTTTATATGAGTGGTTTATTTTTAATCACAAAATATCGGCTAAACTGTACCCATTTTGGGCTTCTTTTGCTTAAAATAATAAAAAGCAAGAGTTAACTAAAATTGCTGTTCTTTCCTTCTAAAACTCATTCTCGGTGCGTTCTCTGATCAACTGTAGAAATCTTTTAGTTTTAACCCACCGTTATTAGAGTAGGCATTAGGGTGGTTTAAACATGGCGATTCACGCTCGTACGACTTTTTCAATCAGATTCTGTAAAGGGTAATAAGAGCTGTCAATCTGAATCGCAACGGAAGCATATATGTATAGCAAAAGAACGATGCTGCGGCGTATGCAGATTTTATCGACGTTGTCGGTTTAGGCTCAGGAAGTCCGTACATACTCTCATTTCTACATAGGGCCCTTGGTATTTTTTTCAATCCTTGGTAGCGAACCCTAAGAAATTTTGAAATTTTCATGGAAGCCCTTATTTTGTACATAGAACATACAAAATTTAGTTTTTCATATGTTTAAGGACCACCCTAGTAGGCACATTGCATTAATTGCTTCTTACATTTTTGTATGCAGTCTGCAGCAGAGCAGGCGATCAATATACATATATAAACTATGCAGCCTTTTAGATATATTCTTCCCCTAGCTCAATACTCGTACATACAGAGGCGGGAAAATAAATATGGACGTGACATTTTAAAAAGGATTAGCTATTTTTCTTTTGCTTATTTAATATTTGTTATATTTTTATGAAAGCCTTGCTATCAAACAAAAACCATTTAAGTCCGAATTCCAAACTTTGTAAAAAGTTCGAAAATGTTTTATCAAAATGTTCAAAATTTTTAAACAGAATTTTTATAAAAATTCTGGTTTGCAAACTATCGACGACACCATCGTAATAGTCTGGTCACTTGAAATAACTATCGATAGTTTCAGTACTATCGCCATTATCGTTTCATTGATAGCGTATTCACTTTCCTAGCGCTTTTGACACTTGCACGTATTGGTTCAAAGAAAACAAAACTTGGCAGCATTATTTCATGAACGAACGAATAAAGATCACCCAGAACGGAGTGCGAGAAAAAAGAATTGTTTTTGCAGTGACTTAATTTTTTCGCCGCCATGTGAATGAAACGGAATGGTAAATGAAACAACCGATTAAAAAATGACGTTATCAACTATTATTTTTTTTTCTAAAATGTAATTACAAATACACGGTGGTTGCCGTGCTGGGTGATCTGTTTAGTTGGTTCATGACATTATTTCTAAAAGCGCCATTTTTTATTTTAAGCGTGGAAATAGCAGAGGTCAAAAGACTGTCAAATAGAGAAATTTCAGAAAGCAGTTGCATGAACAGTGGCACCTGCCTTTTCTGGGCAGCCAAAATAATCTAATCTCAAATCCTTTATCTTTAGTAGGCAAATAAAAAACTCAGACGTGCTGGATTTTGTACAGCAAAAATGCTCAGCACGATTTACTTTCTTAGAAATATACCAGTGGAACCATTTCAGAAATGAAGTCAAAATTTATTGAGATGTTTCCTTAACGTCCTGCTTTCTATCATGCTTGTCCGCAAAGGCTTAACTTTTCCAATTATGTTCTAATTGAATACTAAATACATGATAAGCACAATTGATTTTTAGCAAAAAAAAAAGCGTCTTCGATTCTCATTAAAAAAAAAAATATATATATATATATATATATTTCATGATCCAATGATCGGATCTAAACGAGATTAGTATGGAGTATATATGGTATATATATTCCGACGAACCGAAAACCTCCTCCTTTTTTGGAAGTCGGTTAAAAAGAAAGATTAGTCAGTCTTGACCGACCTCCGATTCTATGTAATTTTTGTTTGTATTCTCCTACACACTTATATACCATATACATATGTATGTATATATATCCCGCCTTAAAAACTACGTTTAATCACACAATCACAAATTAAAGCTTTTAAGAACACGCTGTAAGTCCATTTGGCAAGCACGAGGCATACGCCATCATATGCGGAATTGTATTTTGATCATAAACGCTGGTGAATAAGTGGGCCCACGGACCCGAAGCGAATACGGCCACATCATCACCGCCATGCGTCTCCGAGGAGAGAGGCAGTGTTGCAGGGAATCTATCGCGAGCTTTGCCGGTGATCAAAGTTGTTGGATCCAGACGCTCATGCTGATTGACATCATAAAATTTACTGTAGCTCGGACCATTCGCGTAACTCAAAGTCATGTACGGTTTGCTGTCGGAAGCCGTGTATGACGCAGCGCCGAAAATGTCATTGCCACGGTCCTAGTAGACGAGGCAAAAATTTATTAGAATATGTTACATAGAAAGTTCAAATTACCGAATATCCCGAGTAGCTCAACGTGTGTGAGTGATCGGCTGTCACCACAATCAGAGTGTCCTCTTCATTGGTCAACTCGCGCGCTGCTTGTATTGCCTTTGAGAACTCGACGGTTTCATCCATAGCAAGGCGCGCATAGGTGGCATGATGGCCGTGGTCAATGCGTCCACCCTCGATGAAAATAAAGTAACCTTGCTCATTACGACTCAGGAACTCTATCGACTTGCGCGTCATCTCTTCCAAGGTTGGTTGATTGCTGAGCTCGTCGGTCTCCAAGTGGTACAGCATGTGACTGTCTTCGAAAAGTCCCAGCAAGCGATCGACTTCACTGAAATTCAAGCTATTCAATTCACTCAGAGTCTCGACGTAGGCATTTTTGCTGTTCTGTTCCTGATAGTCGGCAATCAGATTGCGGCCATCGCTGCGCAATCCATTTGCATACAAATTTGAGTCCACAAACTCCCGCTTACCGCCACCCATAATCACCGAAAGCTTGCTGCCCACTTCGCCATGTATTAGTTGGTAAGCAATGTCCTCTATGTTGCTATCGGCGCCGCAGTCAGAGTCCACTTCACTGTCGTTCTCCCAGTTACGTTCAGCCACGTGTGCGTAAACGCCAGCAGGTGAGGCGTGTGTGATGCGTGTGGTGGTCACGACACCCGCCAACTTACCGGCATCTAGCGCCCATTTGGCTATGGAGTACACATGATTGGTGGCGTTGGCTGATTGCTGACAGTCGGTACGCTCTACACCAGCAACGCCAATGGTGCCGCCGAAAGCTTTAACGCCGCATAGGTATGCGGTGGCAGTGGATGCTGAGTCGGAAACAATTCTATTCACATTGAAAGTGCGCGAAAGTCCCGTGTAAGGAAACTTTTCAAAGGAGAGAAACTCTTCCTCACCGCCGAGTAAATTGCGAGCCGCAGAGTGCGTGGTGATGCCCATGCCATCGCCCAGGAACATTATCACATTTTTTGCGATATTCGTGTTGAGTGGTGTGCTGAGCTTTTCCTTGACAAACTGTTTGCCTTGGTCCAGCCAATACTCGGAGGTATCCTCGTCGGCCACTTTGGTTTGGTAAGCCACTCCGCTGCGTTTACTCGCGCCTGTGAATTCAGGATGCATGCGACTTTCCCGACAATCCTCATCGTCCTGCGCGCAGGCGGGTAGCGCTTGTACGACGGTCAGCAGTGTGCAGAAGACCGTGGCAAGGACTAAAGTGTGTCGCATATTCGACATGGTGCTCGGATTGTTAGTCAAAAAATAACTGGCGCATAAATTATCTGGAAAGTACTTAAATAGTAGATACATATTTTCTTAAATTTTTTCGATAAAATTTTCACGTGAGGAACTTATGTATGGTTTGGGTAAATGGATAACTAATATATCCATACATACATATCGTCGTTTAAAGTACAAAACCGCGTATCGTCATTGTGCAAAACCGCGTAACTGCTGACATTTGCTGCCGAAAATTGTATTTGCTCCCACAAGCTCTTGGCTCAATCCTTATCCCTTCGTCCTGAAATATACTAGCCAGGTATGCGATTGCTTTGTAAAAGGGAACCATTTTGGAATATGAGTGTTTTTACTCTCTTGATACAGGTTTGCAATATCTTGATACGCGGTTTTGTACTTTAAACGACGATATGTACATACATAATTCGATTTGGCGATACCTAGCCCGTTTCCATAATTGCCCAATTGTTCTTAATTGCGACCTTAGCCATGTACCGAAAATGTTGTTCACGTGTTGTTCGAACGTTATCAGTCCGATACCCTAATAAAAAACAACAAATTCCAGCACGTTTTCGCATTAAATCATATAAAGCTTTAGATGGAAGTCAGTGTGTGTATTATATTGCTATCAGACACACCATAAAATATATGTATGCCCGTCGGCATGCACACTAGGGTGGTTCAAAAATGCGTTGTTCTATATCCAAAAAAATATTCCCCTGTTTTTTATTTCGAAATCCAAAAATATTTAAAGGTCGGTCAAGTCGCTCAAGCATTTCCATGTTTTTGTAAAGTTGTTCATGGAAATGGTAAAGAATTCTTGAAAATCTATACTTTTCGATCGGAAAGCTCTTCAGAAGACTTCCAGTAAGACACACAATTGTTCACTTTACCATTTTTTAATACTAAAGATTTTTTATGAACCTCCTTTGAATTTTTGAGGCTTTTGGGGTAAATAAAAAGTAATTCATATTAAAACATGGTTAAATAAACAATTGGATATAATTACTGGAAGTCTTCTGAAGAGAAGCAAAGTATTGATTTTCAAGAATTTTATACCATTTCCACGAAAAATTGTTTTTCCCCATATAAAATAGATCGGAAACTTTGAATGACCTCTAAAAATGAGAGAGAGCATTGATATTCCGACTTAACTTTGCTTTGTATCACCCTAATGTACATACCGACAGGTATTTAATAGCCAACTTTAATTGGGTTATTATCGATTTTAAAGCAATTTCTTTAACTTTCTGGTACATTCAGCATTTTGTAGTTATAATACAAAGGCAAATAAACTTAAGCATACATGCTTACATATGTACATATACGGGCACATATATATAAGTGCTTAAACACCTGTATCATAAATCTTTATATATATATTTATGCACACATATGTGTACGCTCATAGGTACAAATGTTCAATAAATCTGAGAGAGCTTAGATTGAATTTTGCTCTATCAAAAAAAAAAAAGCTGAAAGCCAAGAGATATCTACCTTTCTCTCTTTTAAAATTAGTTCTAGAAAAAATACCTTTTATGAATGAAATAATATAGTAACTAATACCATATGCGCGTCTTTAAAGCTCATACAAATTGTATTTTAATCTAGAATTGCGAAAATTTTCTACTATATCTGTAAGCAATCGTTTGGAGTTGGTGTTGTTGGAATGATCATTTCAGCTTCGGAGCCAAAGGGGCGAAATTTGATCGTTCTACTTATATTTAGATATCTTTTCCTTACCGTTCATTTTATGTCTATCAATATCTCTCTGATTATGATAATCGCATCATTATCGTGCTTCGTTATAGTTTTTTTTATTGTTATCGATATCCTTATCATAATCGTTTCCCGTTATGGCAATGGTTCATTATATTATTGTTAATGTTATCGTTGGCATTATACTTATCGTTATCGGCATTTATGGTTGTGTCGTAGCTATGGTTATCGTTTGGTTATGGTTACCGTCACGGTATGGTTTTCTAATGGTTATGGTTATAGTTTGGTTATGGTTGTGGTTATGGATATCGTTATGCTTAAAGGTAAGGCTATGGCTATGGTTATGGTTATGGTTATCGTTGTAGTTATGGTTATTATCATAGTTTGGTTATGGTTGCGGTTATGCTTACTTTTTTAAGGTTATAGTAGTTATGGCTATGGTTATGATGAGGATTCTGCTTACGGTTATGGTAGATTTTAAGGGTGTACATGCTATTGTCGTTAGCGTCGTCGTTATCGTTACATAAGGAAGAGTGAAATTAGGTTCATTAAGCTGGTGATTCGAACCCCTTTCTCTCGCTACCTCGCGTGCAATTTCGTTTCTCAAATTCCGAGGTGCCTTAATATTCAGCATAGGCTTGGAGATGATCATTCTTATAGAGAGGGTAATAATAGCTGATTAGCGGGCTAAAGGGCTTGAAACACAGTTGGCCATTATCCCATTGAAATGTTCTATGATCAAGGTAAGAGAAGGGCTGGACATCCCGCCAAACCATATTTATTTAATTTTGGTATCAGAAAGATCATATCTTTATATTTTGGTTGCATATATTATTAAATTAAATTTATAGTGCCCGCAAATAAAAAGCATTTCAACCGTTGTAGTCTAAAGTCGCCGACCTAAATAAACAAATGTAAAGTTTTCACGAAAGTTTTGCCTAATATTCCGTCATAGAAGAAGGTAATGAATCATCACTGATGATACAACCAGCCCAAGATCGCAGACCTCCGTTATATTCTAAAGCCAAATATAAAAGAATCCCACCCCCGTGACCGCAAGCAGTTTTATATAGTATGTCTATGTATATGCAACCCTGGGTCTGTTTGTTTGAAGTGTATTTTTGACGATGTCTATAATCTATAGCTTTCTATTTACTAAAATCTTGCAATCGATGGATCGTTACTTTTCTGAAAACTCTTTAATTTAATAAATTTTCCCTAAATATATTTCAAATAATTTATTTATTGTAAACAAGCAAGCTCTTTTATTTCACAACAAATATTGTTCTAACCAGCCTCAATACCGGCTTAAGTACAAACGGTTAAGCCGTCGGATAAGCACGAAGCATAAGCCATAATATGCGGAATAGTGTTTTGCTCGTACGCGCCAGTAAACAGGTGCGCCCAAGGACCCACGGCGAACACGGCTACATCATCACCGCCATGCGTCTCCGTGTCAAGTGGCGCTGTAGCGGGGAATACGTCGTAGATGTCGCCTGTTACAATGGTTGTCGGATCGCGACGTACCTTATTGTCAACATCGTAGAATTTCTCATAACTCGGCCCATTTGCATAGCTGAGGGTCATCAATGGCTTGCGATCGCCGGGTGTGGCGGGTGTGCGGCCAAAGATATCGTTACCACGGTACTGAATAAGTGAAAATATGTTGGATATTTAATTAATTTTAAACAATTAAAATATGTGAGCATATACATATATTTTTCAACTCACCGGATAGCCAGAGTAGCTGAATGCATGCGAATGATCGGCTGTGACCACAATCAAAGTGTCCTCCTCGTTGGTCAATTCGCGCGCGGCTTGAACGGCCTTTGAGAACTCGACGGTTTCATCCAGTGCAATGCGCGCCATATTGTCATGATGCGCCAAATCGATGCGTCCGCCTTCGATGAAAATAAAGTAGCCCTGCTCGTTGCGACTAAGGAACTCAATTGCCTTGCGCGTCATTTCCTCCAGTGTGGGCTGGCGTGAGCTCGCGTCAGTTTCTAGGTGATAAAGCAAGTGACTGTCAGCGAAAAGGCCCAGCACGCGGTCGACACTACTGAAATTTAAGCTGTTGAGTTCCGCAAGCGATTCTACGTATGCATTTTTGGCGCTTAGTTGCTCGTATTGATCAATTAGATTCTGACCATCGCTGCGTGTGCCATTCGCATAGATTTCACGATCCACAAAATGCCGCTTGCCACCGCCCATCATTAGCGACAACTTGCTGCCCACTTCGCCGTGTATTAACTGATAAGCTATATCGTTCACCTGACTGTTAGCGCCACAGGACTTCCCCACCTCAGTGTCATCTTCCCAATCGCGATCCGCAATGTGCGCATAGACGCCTGCTGGCGAAGCGTGCGTTATCCTTGTGGTCGTCACAACACCAGCCGACTTACCGGCGTCCATGGCCCACTTGGCAATTGAGTAAACGTGCGTGGTGGTATCCAGCATGGCTTCACAATCTTCACGTTCTACCTGAGCACTCACACCAATTGTTCCCTCCATAGCTTTGACGCCGCACAAGTAGGCGGTGGCGGTGTTTGCTGAATCGGGCACAATACGATCGACGGCATAGGTCTTCGATAGACCCGTGTAAGGGAATTTTTCGAAAGAGAAGTACTTTTCCTCACCACCGAGCAGATTGCGTGCGGCCGAGTGCGTGGTGACGCCCATGCCATCGCCTAAGAACAAAATCACATTCTTGGCCTTGTTAGTGTTTAGTTTCTCAGCAAACTTGGACTTGATGAATTCTTTGCCCTGATTGCGCCAATAGTCGTTGGTGTCATCGCCATCGATTTTACGTCCAGTCACACGACCTGCGGGTGCAGAAGGCAGGTCCGGATGCATTTGGCTTTCGCAGCAGTCTTCGTCGTCCCGTGCGCAAGGCGGCAGCGCCTGTACGGCGACAAGAATACAAGCCAAAGTGGCGTAGAAGCATGTGCGCTTTGTATGAGACATCGTCGTATGCAATGGTTTGAGTCAAAAGTCAACTGAAGTGAAATGGTAGAAGTTGGATTTAGGTAATATGAAGTGGAATTTTGGTTGTGTAGTGAAAATGATAAAAATATTTATTAAGGCGCTTGAGTAGTTTTACAGCAACGATTAGATTAGCGATGCAGCGCTAAGTCTTGCTAAGATTTCTTACATTATATCGGCGTGGTTGTGACTGATATGAAATATATTCGGTGTTCGCTCTGGCAGCAAATATAAACACGCCGTTTGTTTACTGGAAAAAACGTCATAATCCAAGGTAAAAAATTTGCAAACAAATAAAAATATGCATAACCATGTCTGAAAATGTTGGCTTTTAAGTAAAGAATTGGCCTTTCTTTTTCTTATCTCTAACGAAAAAAAGTATTTCTCTCAACAAAGAAAGGAGCCTAATTAAGGTTTCTGCAGTTATGAAGTTCTCCAATTTAACGCCGATATGTATGTAGAAGCTTTCTGTTTATCATATAAAGTTTATTTAGTGCATTTCTGTGTGTATGTATGTATATCCTTTACAAAGGCTTACTCTATCAGTATTTATAACCTCTGCTCTTTATCGCTGTTATTTATGGCGCATTTGTGGCCACACAATTTTTTTTTGTTAATTAACTGCGATGGTTAGTTTTTATTGAATGTACATATACATATGTATGTATGTGTAAATACTTTAGTATGATTTAAATTTGATTTTTAATCGTTTGCTGAACGGTGCGGCTCGTATAAGGTTTTAGACAGGCGGCATATCTATAAAAAAAAAAAATAAAACGCTAATGCACATCTGGAGAACTATTTCTTTTATTTGACACAGCGCATTTATTATAATTTTTCACACAGCTGGCAACCCCCCTTCGAAAAAAATACAACCTTATTCATTTGACACCCCAGTTTTTAAAATTGTATGAACCGTGAAAATGTGATGCCACTAACAACAAATCTTTCACGCAACATATTTATGTAGGTAGTAATTTTTAATTGGTGGCAAGCCTACTTAAAATAGGTTAAGTGGTACTTAATTTTTTAGTCCACCGAATGGTCTTATAATTTTTCAAATTCAAAAATTAATTTATTATTGAACATCTGGAGCCTAATCCCTTTCATTTGACACTTAATTTTTGGTAATCCAACGAATAGCCTACATCTTATAACTTTTCGCACAGGTGGCAGCCCTACAGAAATTTTAAGTACTAAAGGGAGGCTGCCGCCGCATTATTTGTTTGGTAGCCTTAAGTATTTACTAACTTAGTTAAGAACTAAAACTATTAGAAATAATCTGTCATTAATGTGTTTTCTTTTTTTTCCACAGAAATATGTTAGCGAATTGTCAACAGTGCGAGATTGCGCCACCGAGTGTGTTGAGAAAGGTAAGTGCACGCTTATTTGTTTTTAATTTTTTACTATTTACTAACATAAATACACACATACATACATACGTGCATATGTATATGCAAACAACTTCAGTAAATCTATTGAACTTCCATTCCACTATTTTTCTTTCTCTGCATTTTCTTATTTACAGAAATCTGGGAGACGCAAACCTACTGCTGCAATACGGATGGCTGCAATGGGTCCACCAATTTGCAAGCTTCCAAACCGCTGCTCTTATTACCGTTAATATATTGCGTGTACAAATCGCTGGTGGTTGCTTTCAGGGAGCAGCGGCACTAAGTTCATGCAACATGCGGCTGAAGCAAGCAAAACGAGTTCTCGTAATTATATAATTACTAACAAAATAATGGAAATGTAAGATAATTGAGTGCAATAAGGTTAAAAACAAATTTGAAAAATTTTAATTATTTTTCGTAAGTTTTGTAAATTTTATTTAATGCAAATTTAAATTTTTTGATGATTCTTTAATAAGCTGAATGTTTATTAATTTATACATATACATAATTACTTTTCAACTCGTATTATAAAATAGTTTCATTTCCAGCATTTTTTTTTTTTGATTATATTTCCTAAGCAAAAGAGAAGTTCAATAAAATCGCAACGCTTTGCATTATTCCTCGTTCAAATTCGTACTTTTTAATAGTCTTCCCAAAAGTTTGAGTAGCAAATATATTAACAAACGAACATTTACACATGCAAGAAAAATAAGAAAAATAGCAAAAATTTGAATATACATAAAGAAATGAAAAATATATACATACATACCACACAACTTATATATATATATTACCTAAATCCGAATGTTGAAAATCTTACGATTGCGATAACAAAAAAGCATATTAGAACAAATTCTAAATATAATAATGCAAAAAATATATATACATACATACTTACATATATGTAATTGTACTGTATACATATGTACATACATATATGTATGTAATTACAAGTGTATATAAAGCATTTTCAGCTCAAACATCTTCGTACTAACTAGAAAGAATTGAAAAATTTTAGCAAATAAATAACACCTTGACGCAGGATAAATAGTTGCTATTTATTGGAAAACGAGCAAGCAAGTAAGAACAGTTATTTGAAGCTGCTTATATATATGTAGATAACTTCAAACGACAACAAATAAAACAAGTACATACTTATTAGAATTATCTTTTTTTTCAACAATATTACCATCCAAAGCTCAAAGGAACTTAAAGTTCGGCTGGCTAATTAGCTAAGCTGAGCAATACGGCTAGAAATTTGTTTAGATATTTACTAATATTTTCATGAAAAAAAACTATACCATACAATATTTTTTTTGCATAAAGCTCTACAAATAAAAAAAAATATTCAGTAAAATTTCTCGCTAAGACATATTGCGCAAGCAATCGCGTCGCCGAGTTATAATTTGGGGCTGGCTGGGGCGATTGCTTTCAGGCAATATGGAAATGTAAACTTTCCACATTTTAGTTCTTGATTTTTTTTTTTTTAACTTGCATTTGACATTTCTCTGTACAGCTTTTTTAATACATACATATTTACAATATGATTAATTTGTATACTAAAACACTAAATAAGAATATTCTAAAATCGCGCGCGCAATTTATAAACAAACATCGTAAGAGTCCGTAAGATTTTCTAAATTCAACATCTCGCAAATATCGCATTCTATTAGATAACATGAATTCGCATAGTACACTCGAGCATTCACATTATTTACTAAATATAACTTAAGTGGATAATATAGATTTTCAGCAAAGAATAGAAAATAAAAGCAAGCCAATTTGTAAGCTAAAACAAAATTGAGAAAAAAGTAATATTTTAGGCGAAAATTATGAGATTTAAAGTTATAATAATATAGAATACGCAACGAACTACAACTAAATCTCTGATAAATTAGACAGTTTTCAGTTTTATGCTCTAATTAGAACCAGAGCTGGCGGAGGCGGTGAGAGAGGGGTGAGCAACCTAAAACGGCAAGGTTTTGTGAGAACCACAATTTTATCTGAGATAATTGATACTCCACGAGGTCTGACACTAAGGTGTAAGTTGCTTACTGACCAGCGCGTATCATGTGTTGCCAGAGCTATTTAACTTCGAAATAATTACTTCAAAAATATTTTCGGTCAAATTGAGAGATGCCATAAAATTATTTCGACATCAAGCGTCTGATTGACTGATCTAATAGAAAAACAAGTAAAAAAGTCTAAGTTCGGGCGGAGCCGAACATTAAATACCCGGCGCAAGTATACATTTTTTTAAGTTTTCCACCTTTCCGAAAGATACCGCTACATGATAAGCCGGGGTGTATACATTTTAAGTAAATTAGCGTCCTTAAATTTCGAAATATTGAAATTTCAAGCATTTCTGAAATTTACCGTTATACGAAAAGCGGCCGTAATTTTAGACCGATTTCAACAATTTTTAACGGTTTGCTTTTATGTGGCAAGCAAATAACGTATTTCTTGGTAAAGAGTTGTTGCAACCATCAATTTTGAATAAATTAGCTTCAATATTTACTGATTTATCGAAGATTTTGTATTTCTCGAAATTACCGTTATATGGGATGTGGGCGTGGTTATTGTCCGATTTTAAAAATTTTCGGCCATTTGGTATGCTGTTCCAGGACCAACAACTGTGCCAAGTTTGGAAGAAATTGGTGTAGAGGTTACCAAGATATACACATGTAACCATAAGTGGGCGTGGCTACGCCCATTTGCCAAACTTTTTTAATATTCTTATTTTTCGTCTAAAACTCATTGCAAATGTCAATTTTGAATACATTATCTTCAGTGGTTACTAAAATATCGGAGTTTTCGTATTTCTGAAAATTACCGTTATATGGGAGGTAGGCGTGGTTATTGTCCGATTTTTTAAATTTTCGGCCATTTAGTATGCTGTACCATGGCCAACAACTGTGCCAAGCTTGGAAGAAATTGGTGCAGCGGTTACCAAGATATACACAAGTAACCATAAGTTGGCGGGGCTACGCCCATTTTCCAAAAATTTATAATATTCATGTTTTCCGTCTGAAACTCATTGTAAGTATCAATTTTGAGTGAATTATCTTCAGTAGTTACTAAAATATCGCAGTTTTCGTATTTCTAAAAATTACCGTTATATGGGAGGTAGGCGTGGTTATTGTCCGATTTCGCCCATTTTCAATACCGTCCGTCCTACGCCCAAAAGAAGTTCACGTACCAAGTTTCGTTAAGATATCTAAATTTTTACTCGAGTTATCGTGTGCACAGACGGACGGACGGACGGACAGACAGTCACCGCTTAATCGATTTCTCTTTTCATTCTGATCATTTATGTATACATTTGTCTATATCTATCTCGATTCGTTTTGCCTGTTACAAACAACCGTTATGTGAACAAAATTAATATACCCTTGTGCACAAGTGCGCTCGGGTATAAAAAAACCTTTCTCATATTGAACCAAGAGCTTTCAGGTACGCGAATTTTTCGTCCTTTCTTTTCAACGTATTGCAAAACTTCTACCCTCATAGCAATAATATATATGTGTTTGATACCGAAAAGTGTTTGACTATTGGTCTGACGATTGATTAGATGAGCGGCAGCTGGTTGCGATGTTCGATGGGGTCGAGTTGAGAAAAAAACCCTAAAAAGATACAGAATGAGGTCGATAAGGCCATGCGAAGACAAGTAGTCGCTGGGTGGAACAGTTTAACTACGGTCCTGTGAAATTCCAACGAAGACACATATACGCTCACATAGCCAAGCCCGGCTTTGATCAGTTGAGCTATTATTCGTTGACAGTGGTGTTAGTTGAGTTGATTTGAGAGGTGAGGTGAAGATTTCGCAGGTGCAGTTCTTCGTCCGCTATAAGGATATTGTTAAATGTCGACCATTATCTATCTATGCAGTGGTAGTTTTATAAAATTTCTAAACATTGACTTACCACCTGGGCGGAGAGTTGATTTAATTTTTGTTGGCAGATGTTTTTTTTTTTGAGTTGCCATTTGGTAAGGTATGAAATTTCAAAGAGGCTGCGCTCACTTGTAGGTGAGCTCAAATGATAAGTGAAGTACCGGAGTAAAATGACGGCAAGTATCTTCATTTTCTTGCTGTTAGTATATATTCAAATCTGTGACCAAGACATGTTCTGGCATTTTTTGAAATAACAGCTCTTTACATGTAAATGTCTTCAAATTATGTAAGCTAACTCTCTCTCGCTACGAAGCTAGGAAACTGTACAAGAAATTCTAAATTATTGTTTAAATAAATTTTAAATGAATAAATAAAATAACTAAATTAACCATTAGTGTTACCAGAATTGCAAAAACAATTGAAAAGAGAATGATTGAGCAAGAAAAAATCTAAGAAAAATGCGAATACGAATAATTATGAAACAATTTGTAAAAAAGAAAAACAAAAATTCACACATAGCAAAATAGATGAACGCGAAAAGTTATAGGAAAAGAAAAATTAAAGAAAAAAAATATATATAAATGCATAAATAAAATTTAAAGCAAATCTCACTTCAAGTGCATCTACACATTTTCACATACTAAAATTAAAATTCCAACAAAAAAATAAAATAAAAAATAAATACAAGCACACTCTTTTTTTTAATAGATAATACATAAATTTAAGGCTTCAAAGATTCTTTATAAAATAATTAAAACAAATACAATTGAGATAATTGAATGGTAGGCGAAATTACTTGATAAGAAAACAAATACAAGATATTGAAAAAGCACACTCAATTGTAAAATTACAAAAAGAAATAAAGCATCGAATCATCAACGTATAGAAAACTAAAAATATAGCAGCCACGCGCATCACCACACACAGAAATAAATATAATTAGTTCCTTGCAAAAACAAAAAAAATAAATAAATAAATAAAAAATGAGCAGAAAGCACACATAAAAATGGGGATCGAAAAAAATGTATCGTTGTTAACAATTTAACAGTAATGGCAACAATAAGAAAAAGCAAGCAAACAATAAGCTAACCGTAAGCAGTAATTAAGCATAAATGAATTTTTTGGATTCTTACTTCCAGTTTTTCTTTTTTTAATTCACTTATACCAAAGCCATAGCTAAATGGGTTCACATACATATACATAAGTATATGGAGTTTTTTTTTTAATTTCAACCAAATTACGGTTATTGATATTTTAACATAAAAGCAAGCTATGTCCTATAAAAAATATTTGTTATTATTTACTTGGATGTGAAATAGCAAATTTTATAAATTTTTTATGTGATTAAATCCGGCAAAAATACAAAAGCTTTTAACAAGCCAAAAAAATGCCCACACACAAATATTGTCTCTGATAAAATTTTTATCACCCAATAAAAATGACATTTAGTAGGCAAAAACCTGTGGCCTGTGGAGAAGGGCCGTTATGAAATTAAGCTGCTCTCTTTTTCAATACTCAATCAAGCCTACACCCGAAACATTGCAACCATAAACCAACACTCACGCATTGGAAAATAGTAATAAAAAAAAAAATGAAATAAACAATAGCAAAACAAAATAAAAATCGCTCCCACAGCCAGATCGCTCCTCATAGCGCAACCTCTGTTATACAAAAAAGTAAAGAAAGCAAATATGAAAGCAAATGAAATTTCGCAGTAAAATCTGCAATGTGAAAACGAACCAAAATTAATTGTGATGTACCGACATTTAGTAGACACATTAACAAAATTAAATTAAATTAATTCAATTCAATTTAATTCAACTAGAAAAACAAACTGGTAAAGTGCTTACTGTAAATGTGTTTTTTGCTATACCAACACAATGAAATAAACAAAAAAAAAAAAATAGTTTAACTACTAAAACGAGAGAGTTTAATATAAATTACAAAAAAACAACT